CTAATCTAGGTAAAAAACTAAAAAATGACACCTAATTGAATTCTAATTGTAATTGCCTAATGGGCCTTCTAGAGTTCTAATTCTAGTAGAAGTCTAAAAGTAGAAGACTAGTAGGAATTAGGAAACTACTCAAACTAGGAAGTAGGAACTACCAAACTAGTAGAATACTAGTTCGGTTCGAGTCGGTTTATGTATGTGCCCAACCCGAAACCGACCGATATGGATGAAAACCCGGCCGACTCGGGTTGGGCCAGTCCGGGTTGGGCATTCTTATGAACAACCCTATTTGTAACTGTAATCTAAAAAGAGTTGGGTTTGAAACCACCTTTAAGGGGAGGTAACACCTCGTGCCTCCTCTTAGTGTGTTTCATGCTTGCACTATTTCTATCTCTATTTAATAAAATACCATTCATTCATAAGAAAAAAAAAAAAGATTTTGGGAAGACAATTGGAGTGATACCATAATTTTTAACTCCCTTTGTGCTTAGATTAGATCAAGTTTCTTCATGTTGGAATGTTACTTGTGATTTTTTAAGGGTAAATTACTAAAGCCTCCCCTTAAGTTTCTTACTTTCTGAAACCTCCCGTGAAGTTTGATAATTGCAATTACCTCCCTTAAGTCTCTCTATTAGAATTCTCTAACAAGAGGCATGAAAATGTCCAAAATACCCATGCAGTTATTTTTGACCAAAATCAATATTTTTCAAAATTTTTCTTCATATCAATCGCTACCCCAAACCCTTGCAATATCTTTTCTGGAATTAATTTATTTTCCAAATTTGCCCTTCATATCAATTTCTCAAAGGTAAACAAGCCTCAGTAGTAACTCCATGGGTATTTGGGAAATTTTGTGTCTCTTGTTAGAAGATTCTAACTCTACTTACAACTATGTTAGAGCTCCATGGTGGTTTGGAAATCTTAGGCCCCTGCTTTATAGGGAAATCACTAAATTTATTATTTTGTGAAAACTTGAAGATATGCTTATTGAAGTAGAGATCAATGAGAACCAAAGTCAAATTTGTAATGTTGCTTTTATGGTTTTTAATTGGTATTGTGTTTCTTTTTCCAGAGATTTATGTGAATCAACTTAGTCTTGGTGAACGTCTGTAGGCTTGATGTCAGGGGCGGTATATTGTTCAAGTCAGATTGTACATTGACAAAGTTGTGCTTTGTGTTATTGAGCTATATAGGAAATATTCCACACCATCTGGTATTAGGAGTTTCAAGTTGGTCCATTTGAGGGGCTGAACAGGAGTCTGGATTTTGGACTCATGATACTATATCTAAATTAAAAAAAATACAATGAATGCACTTGCCATTCTATTGCAACAGGTTTCCACCTTCCATTTGAAATGATCATGAAATTAACTTTTTAGGTCTTCCATGTGATTACCTTATGATGAGTTTTACTTTGTATTATGCTCAAATGCATTCAAAATGTGCTTCTGAATACATGTGTTTTGGTACATGGTAGTATACAGTGTTTCGGGTCTTAGGCCCTGTTTGATGATTACGTACTTGTTAAGCAAGTATTCTTAGAAGTACTTATTTTAACAATCACTTAAGCCTGTTTGGTAACCCACTTTTCAAATCACTTATTATGTTTTTAAGCACTTATTGGGGTGGGGAAGTTTGGTAAGCTACTTTTCCCATAAGTGCTTATATTGACACAAGTGACAAATTTACCCTCCACTATAGATTATGTAGATTCCTCCCTCTCAATTTCTTCACTAGAATTGTTTAAACCTCTGGAACTATAGATTGGACAATAGAAAGACACCTCCGATTAATAACCTTCACAAAATTCTCGGATTCCCATTTTCGCCTCCCGAGTCTCTCTTGACTCACTCTCCTTCTTTCGTTGTGTTCTAGCTTTATCCCCAGCTAGTCCGTTTGATATCTTAGCATTTGGTATGCCTCCAACTTCATGCCTGGGAGGATTCCGTTGCTTCCAACTGATATCTTACAAGGTCCAACTCCCAGTGCTCAAACCCAGAACCATGGATTTTGTTGTCATTCAACCAAAATTTTTCGTATTTTAGAGGAAAATGGAGGACTTTGTTGTCTCCGATTGATATCTTACAAGTCTCGATGCTCAAACCCAGGACCATGGAAGCTTCAATAGAGAATATCTTAAAAAAAATGCAGACGAAAAGAAAACCAAAATTTTTTGTTGTTTTTGTGAGCAATCAAAGAATTTTGATAAGGGTTATGTAGAGGAGCATGAATTCGATCTGCCCATTTCCCAATTTTCTGATGTTGGTATTGGAGCCCCATCTCCTATCGCACAAAGAGAACCATAGCTTGTTGACGCTTTGAAGTGCAGGCAAAAAAGGTAAATGATGTTGATGCAGATGGAGTTTCTTCGG